AACAGTGCCCTTGGGGGTAGGGTGGGGAATGACAGTGAAAATGCAGCGTCTTCAATTTTATTGCTAGAGCACATTGTTAGTTAACTGGCTTTTCCTGCTTCACAATGCCCTCTGCAGTGGTCTGGCACACCCCCATTGCCACTCTGCAAAGGCAAAACCCCCGCCTTTATCCATCAGGACGGGGTAGCTGACTGGGGATGAAAAGCCAACTCATCTGTCAAACAAAAGCAACACATGTGTGCTATTTTAAGTCAGAAGAGACAGCAACCACTGAGGCAAACCTTAGTTGAGCCTTTAAGGAGATGGAGCCAGAGGTGCCTGAAATGGGAAATACACTTATTCTTTAGGGGGTTGGGGAAGGTGGACTGAGATAATTTTGATTGAATTGGAGGTCTGAAAAGAGCAGAGGTTATTGAAAGGGGTGCTTTATTTAACCCAGGCAGAATTTTCCCAATTTTATTTGCCAACATTAGGCAATTGGGAGATTTTATATAAAAATATGGATTTCAGGCACTTTTCTAAATGGCATTCGTGCTTTGGAGAAGGAGAGCTTGCCACCGCCACCGCTGGCTCACTTCATTCCTTCCTGCTGTTCACATTTAGATGCTAATCACATTTTGTGAGCACAGTGTCTTGAGCTCTCTTAGCTCTCCGGAATGCTTTTACAAGCCAAAAGCCTGATGGCTCAGAACACACTTGATAGCTTATTCTTTAGGGGGCAAGTGTATGCTATTTAGGTTTCCTTATTTTCTCTTTTTTCATGTTACTTCCAAGTTCTTATTAACGTTTGATTTTGCAACTCCTCATATAGAGGGCCTCCGTGCCATGAGGGTGGCACAATTGGTAAGGGCAGCATGCCAGGCCCAGGAACTCAGTCTTTGTTCTCTAGGGGCAAAAAAGAAGGACAAAACACAGGCAGATCTTAAGAAAATTAGTCTGGAAGAAGCTATGGACTGGCTTGCAGGGACTGAAATTACTATTGGCCCTGGAAGCACACTATCTGGTCTTAAATTTCAGCTCAGTGACTGGGTAGGTGAACTCCGGCAGGCTACAGAAGCTCCCACTGCCTTGGTTTTATCATCTGTAAAATGGGCTTGAGAGGAACAGTACACACCCTATAGGGTTGTTGTAATGATGAAATAAGATACTGAGCATAAAGATCTTATCACAGTGCCTGGTACATTATTGCTCCGGGATCTTTTTTAGAATCAACCCTGGAGGCCAATTAGAGGATTACTGCAATAGCCTGGTATGAACTGATAAGTCCCCAGATTTTCGTGGGGGCATTGGGAGTGTTGGGAATGAAGAACCAACTGACCTCAAGGTTGATTGGGGGTTGGGGAAGAAGCAGCTCAAAGATAACTTGTGGATTTCCAGCCTAGGTAATGGGGAATGATTGCATTGAAATGGAAAACTCTGGGAAGACATTTTCATAGGAAGGGAAGTTAGTTTGATATATATTCAGTTAGAGGTGCCAGTGGAGAGGTGGTAGCCAAATAGTGATGCCCAGCAATGTGGGAGCAGGGATGAAGATGTGGATTTGAGCATGAGAAACCACATGTGGGGAAGGGGCGCTCTGGGAGGGCCTGGCAAAGCAATAGTGTTCAGTTGACCAAAGACAGCCCGAGGCATTAAGCATCTGGGGCAGGCTCAGCATCTCTGTTTGAACAGGCCAGGGCCTACCTTCACTCAGGTATTGTGTGTATTCTGCTCGGTCAGCTGTGCCACTCAGAGACTACCTTTGTCCTTCATCGTATGCGCTTTCAGTTCAAATGCTGACCTGGCCCAATCCTGCTTACCTTGTGAGCTTGATGGGGCCAAAGTCCCCTTGGGTGTAAAGCAACAGGCTGACATTCAGTTTTATATTTGATGAAACGGAGTCACCTAATACAGGCAACGGAGGGGGGGGGGTGTTGTAGGCACAGTTGTGGGGGGACCAAGCTCGTGCCTGGTGCCTCCCTCCTGATCCTCTCAAGGAGATCCCATGTTCTTAGCTGCTCCCTAGATTTTCAGGGCAGTCTGTCTCCCTCTCTCCTCTGCATGTGCCTGTCCAGAGAACCATTTGCTCAGGAATTCCAGGTCCTTATTAGGAGTCTACAGATTAGCCAGATAAATTAATTCCCATCAATATTTTACCCTTTACTCTCTCAATACACTAAGTGTTGCCGACCTCTTCAGGCCCAGGCTCTGAGCCAGGTATGGGAGTTTAAAGATGAAAAGGCCAGGCCATACCTGGAAGAGCTGGAAGTAAAATGCACTGAAGTGTGGCCATGAGATTTCAGGCAGGGTGCTTTTAGGGTACGTGAAAGCGCACCAGGTGGGGGGCACAGAGGGCTGACCCACCCCCCTTCCCACCAGAAACCATGCCATCAAAACATGCACATGCACAATTTATTTACCTCTCCATTCTCTAGCATGTCAGCCAGGAGCCAGGGCAAGAAAAAGAAAAAGGAATAAAATAAGTGTAAGCACAGTGAAGGAAGAGCTCAGCTGATTAAACAAGACTTCTGATTATTGTCATTAATGTTCAAGAGAATTCCAATTTGATGCGGCATTAAACAGGCAGGTGTGTAAAACTATATTAGGAGGAGCCATTCAAACAAAGGGGCCAGTCAGTGTCGGGGTTGACCAAATTCCCTGGCCAACAGGTTATGTAACGGACACCTGACATGGATTTGCTTCCTCCAGGCAGTGCAGCAAGGAAAGCCGATGGAATGCAAATGTTCTCACTAAACGTGCTCAGGTAAGAGCAGCCTGGCTGCCCTGCAAAGCTTCTTCCTTAGAAATTCTGCTGGCCCTAGGAGACCATAAAAGTTCTCTTTTTTTGGAGAATTTGGATTGTATGCTTTGCAGGAAAAAACAACTCCAGCAGAATGTAGAGTTTGTTGTTTCTAGAGTCTTATCTTCCAAACTGAAGGTGTATTTCGAGCAGGGATTAAGAGGTTGTTAGTGGACAGAGATCACTAGATCCATGGCTCTAATACCCTCAGATAGTGCTCAAATACCCTGCATTTACTGCAGCGACATCTTTTGGCCAGAGAAAGCAATGCATGTTTACATTTAAAAAAGCATCTGGTTCAGTGGTTCTCAACCTTTCTAATGCAGTTGACCCTTTACTACAGTTCCTCATGTTGTGGTGACCCCCAACCATAAAATTATTTTCGTTGCTACTTCATAACTGTAATTTTGCTACTATATGAATTGTAATGTAAATATCTGTGTTTTCCGATGGTCTTAGGCTCTACATTTTGAGAACCGTTAGCAGGGTCGCCCAAGACCATCGGAAAACACAGATATTTACATTACTATTCATTAACAGTAGCAAAATTACAGGTATGAAGTAGCAACAAAAATAACTTTATGGTTGGGGGTCACCACAACATGAGGAAACTGTATTAAAGGGTCGAGTGGCATTAGAAAGGTTGAGAACCACTTTCTGGTTCTATTTTGGGGATTCGTTTTTTCTAAAGTAGAGTAGACAAGGTATTATTATATTTATTAACCCCTATTAAATAACACTTTGACCACAACCCTAAAATTTCTTTTATATATCTTTGTGTGTTTTTCTTCTTTTAATCCTCACTTGAAGATATTTTTCCATTGATTTTTAAAAATATATTTTATTGATTTTGTACAGAGAGGAAGAGAGAGAGATAGAAACATCGATGAGAGAGAGTCATCGATCAGTTGCCTCTTGCACACCCCCTACTGGGGATATGCCCGCAACCAAGGTACATACCCTTGACCGGAATCGAACCCAGGTCCCTTCAGTCCCCAAGCCGACGCTCTATCCATTGAGCTAAACCGGTCCTGGCTGATTTTTAGAGAAAGTGAGAGAGAGGGGGAAAGACAGAGAAATATCGATGGGAGAGAAACACATTGTTTGGTTGCCTCCTGCATGAGCCCTGACCAGGGCCTGGGCTGGGCAGGTGCCTGCAACCAAGATACGTGCCCTTGACTAATCAATATGTTTCTCTCACATCGATGTTTCTCTCTGTCCTTCCCTCTCTCTTTCACTCTCCCTAAAAACAAAAACAAAAACAAAAACCAACCAAACAAAAACTCACTAGAAAAATATCCTTAGGTGAGGATTAACAACAACAACAAAGAAATAAAAAGAAATCAGTGATGAAGAGTAACCTTCCTACCCCCTGGAACTTTATTCTCTGTGGGAATTGAGGACTTAAAAAAAAAAAAAAAGATTTGCCCAGAAGAGGTCAGAAAGCAGGAAAGCCTGTGAACTGGAGTTGAATTAAAGGCAGATACAAAACCTCAGAGTTGTTGATTCTGAGCCCATCCTTAGACTTGCTTGTAACCCCCAACTTTACTTGGCCCGCTGATTTTTTTTTTTTTTTTTTTGTAAAAATTGACTGATTCTAGGCTAAGCCAGTTACTCACTGTGGGACTCTGGATACCACCATGCTTTTGCCTCTGTAGTCAATAGAGAAAATGTGTTTCCCAGGCAACAGTTAGGAAAACGCAGGGCAACTCCCACTAAGACACTGGCCCATTTCAAATGTAGTTACGTCCTTAGCAAAGGAGTAAAGGACTATTGGAGCTTGGTTCTCGAATAGCTCCTGGCTTATTCTGGTTCTTTCCGGTTTGTTTCACTGAGGTAAGGGGTGGCTATGAAAGTAAGAGTGCCCTCCTCTCACTGTGGAGGCCCTGGGAGAGGGAGCTAGGAGGCTGCTTTGATGTCAACTATGCTTTGGTGGCAACTATGGGAAAGAGAGGAAAGAAAAGTGGGCCTCATCTGGAAGGGCTAAAAAGTCCTAAAAAATCAGAGTATGTGAATGAAATAGTAGCTTGGGCTGGAGCCAACAGCCCTGATGTTAGCAGCAGAAATGCCCGGAGTGGGGGTTTGCGTAGTATTTGTGTGAATAGTCATGATCCCCTTGGAAACCTGGCATTGCTCAGGGTCAGTGTTCTCTGCTATTGTTACCAACCCACCAACACTTCAAGGAATCTCCCCACTGCCCTGCTCCACCATCACTCCTCACCTGCATCTTCCTCTTCACTGTATCACATGGAAAGGAGAGCGTCTGGGTAACCGCAGCAGCTAGGCAGATGTTGGCAAAGTTCTGGAGGAGAGAGAAGCGATCGCGGGGTCCATTCCAAATTTTTTCCAGATTCATGTAAACTAGAAGAGAACCAGCAGAGAAAGGGAGAGCACCTGCAAGACAAGGCCAGGAAGAGGCGGCTGAGGTCTAGGCAAACACAAGTTTGGGAACACAAATCCCTGTGGGGAATCAGGAGCAAGTAAACAGGACCCTCCCTGGGCTTCTTAAGACCAACCCAACAGAAAGAGCGGGAAGAAACTTTCTTGGGTGATGATAATGTGCTCTATTTTGATAGGGATTGTGTCATTTGTCAAAATGCATCACATGGTTCACAAAAGGTTTGCACACTTTACTGTATATAAATTTTACTTTAAAAAGTAATAAACAGCCCAGCTGGTGGTGCTCAGTGGTTGAGCATCAACCTATGAAACCAGGATACGTGCTTGGGTTGTGGGCTTGATCCCCAGTGGAGGGAATGCAGGGAGCAGCCAATGGATGTCTCTATCCCTCTCCCTTCCTCTCTCTAAAAATCAATAAAAACAAATTTAAAAAAAATTGACAAGTACTGAAGTCTAATCTAGTTTATGATACACATATCAAAGGGTTGAGGGGTGAAGTGCATCTTATGTTTGCAACTTACATGCAAATCATCAAAAATATATAAGATGAACTGATGAATGGCTAGAAGGATGGATAGATGGACCAATATGTAATAAAGCAAAACGTTAGTTGTAGCACGTAGATGGTGTATTTTTAATATGTGTATTTCTAATTCTTTTAACATTTCTGGGTGTTTGAAATGGTAAAAAATAAAATGTTTGAAGAAAATCACTTTCATCAGAAAAAGTTAGTGATTGTCCTTAGTCAACTTTTGGAAGGTAGGAGGGAGTGGTCTCTAGCTGAGAAGGAAACATTCTGTGAAAACTGGAAAGAGGGAGGTTATTTGACCTTGCCTTTGGAAATGATGTGGCCATGTCAGGGTTCAGGGGCACCCTGCGCTGTATGGCATCCTCACCTTGCTAGGAAAATATGGTGAGCAAGGAGTACAGTAGATGGCACTTTCACAAACTTCCAGAAACTTTGGGAACTATCTTAATTTTACAGAGTGACTAAATTTCTTCCTCAAAAAGGGATTTAAAAGAGAGAATAATACAGTGGGGTTGATTGTCCTTAAAATAATATAATACTTTTATGTAATAAACACATTTACAATGATGTATCAGCCTTGGCTGGGAGCATCATCCATACACCAAAGATCACTGGTTTGATTCTCATTAGGGCACATACCTAGGTTGTGGGTTCAATCCCCAGTCAGGGCATGAACTGGAGGCAACCAATCAATGTTTCTCTCTCATCTCATCTCTCTCTTTCTCTCTCCCTTCTTCCCTCCCTCCCTCTCCAAAATGCAATAAACATATAAAAATGAGGATTAAAAAAATTTTTTTTTCAAAAAGATGTACCCACGCCCCATTTATTTACTTTCATTTGGAAAACACGTGTGAAACTTGTGTTCGGGGACCTAGGCCAGGTGCAGGAATACAAAGAGTAAGTAGGCTAATTCCTGGAGCAGCTCACCATCTAGTGGTGAGACAGCTCATAGGGGCGGGGCTGGAGTGGGGAGGGCTGTACAAAGCGCTTTAAGTACACCAGGAGAGGAGTTAATTTTGCCTGGGGGAATCAAGAAGGACTTCACAGAAGAGAGAACTTCTCAACTGGGTTTTGAGGAACTAATAGGGGTTCATCAGACATAGACAGGCAGTCTAGGCAGAGGGAACAACATGTACAAAGGGAGAAATGTTCCCAGGAAATGCAAGTATTTCTGTATGGATGGAACATCAGTGCAAGTGGAGGTGTGACAGGAGAGGTTAGATGAGCTGTTCTGAAGGATCTGGTAGGCTATAAAGAATTGGGGTTTTCCACTGTAGTTCAGGAGGCAGTGAAGACTTTTGAGGAGGGCAGAGAAGGGAGGGTGGTGAAATGATCATTTTGCATTTAGAGAGATCACCACACCCTGGCTGCAGTGCACAGGGCAAACTGGGGTGGGAGAGAACCAAGACTGGGAGCAGGTAAGAGGTGCTTCTTGTGTCTAAGAGAAAGATGGTGATGAGAGTGCGACCTAGGGCAGAGGAGATAGAGATGGAGAAGGGGGATAGACTTGAGAGTTCAAAGAGGTCATTTTGAAAATACTTGGTGACTAAGGTAAGAGTGGAGTGAGTAGTAGAGTTGAAATGAATCTAGGTTTCTTCTGTCTCAGGCCACTGGGTGAAAGAAAGGTCTTATTCATTAGAGAACACAGAAGGAGAGCAGGTGTGAGACTAAGGGAGCATCAAGTGAGGTGTCCAATAGCAGGTATTCATTCTGCCACTGGGAATTGGTAGCAGACAGTGGTTAAGAGAGAGGGCTCTGGATTATATTGCTAAGTTCCTTCACTTTCTACCCATGTGACCATGGCAGGTAACTTAGCTTCCCTAAGAATCTATTTCCTCATCTGTTGTAAAATGAGGCTTAAATGAGAATCTGTATGCAAAGCATTTAACACACTGCCTGGCACATAGTAAGCACCAATAAATGTTACTATGGAGATTATGTTAGGGGTCATTGGAGTGTAATGATACTTGTTCAAGCCACTAGCCTACATGAGGCCACCTAAGGGGGTATGGAGGGTAAAGGAAAAGTTAAGGAAGGAGCTGGGGGAATAGTGTAATGTAGGGGGATAGCAGTGTCAGATGAGCCGTTGAGTCAGACAAGAAAGCTATCCAGGAGACAGTGGGTCCTAGAAGCCAAGTTTCCAGAAGAAGGGGTAATCAATCTTACCAAATGTTGCAAAAAAGATCAGACAAAGAGCAAAAGTCTGCTGTTTTGGCCAATGGGGGTCCCGGTGACCTGTGTGTGTGTGTAGTCCTGGCACAAGCTCCAAAGACCACAGAAGCTACAACTGCTACCATGGTTGTGCTCATATTTGCATGTATGCACACTGAGACTCCTTCCCATAGTTGGATGAGGAATGTGTGGGATTGTCTTCCTATCAGTTTGTGCAGAGGCACCTCCAGGCACTGCCGTCCACCCTTCTCTGGGGTGCAAAAGGTCAAAGTTAGGAATGGGGTATACAGCTGTAGAATAGAATGAAGTTAGATGACCATCTATGGATTAAGTTTATATGACCTTGACTTCAATAAAATGGACTTAACTGGTTACAAAGGCATACAATTATTCATATATGTCAAAGAATGCAGCCTTTCCTTGGACACAAGGAGAACATTTCCATCTTACCTAAAACTGTAAGGGAAACTCCTCGATAAAGGGCCAGGAATCCTTCCTGTTGATAAACAGTAGAAAAAGCATGGAGGATCCCCCTATAAGATGGTTCCAGCACATTCTGCACAATTAAGCGTGTTTTGATGAGGTCTGAAGGATATGTTACAATGGTGGAAACCATGCCTGCGAGACTTCCAGCCATGATGGCACTCCACTGGGAAATATGGCCCAGGTCATCCATGAAGAGTACGACAAACCTGGGAGGAAACAGAGGATGAAGGCCAAGGGAATCAGCTCTAGAATGTGCTAGAGTGCTCTACATTACTCTCACATCTTCCAGCATTTGAAAATGCTTTACAAAGTGCTAATTCATTTAGCTAAATGCTTTACCATACTAATGAATTAGGATTAATAACTAACACATTTAAATCTACTATATTTATTTAATTCTAGTTAGCTATAGGGAAAAGATGCCCAACTCTCTTATTTATTTATTTTCCAACTCTCTTATTTATAGCTAACCTAAGTCCTTCCCATTTCACTTTAAACACATAACTGTCAACTCTGGCTTGCCTGTGGGGTGTAAATTTGCAGAAGTACTTGGTAAATATCAAACTAATGTATTACTTTGCTTCTTTTGAAACTTAAAAGAAATGAAATTGTTTAAAATGATGACTTTGAACATCCCTAGCAATTGAGTTTAAAAAATATATTGGCCTAATTATAAGAGAAGTACCCCCCCTAGTGTCAGGGAAATAAAACAATAATACCATCTCTCACCTAGCAGATTGGTAAGGATTAAAAAGTCTTATAATATTAAGTGATGGTGAGGATGAGTGGACACAGGACCTCTCACCCACTGCTTGTGGAAGTGAAAATTGGTACGGCCACTTTGTAGTATTTAGGGGGGGGGGGGGAAAGCTGCCTACTTTCACCCCAGCAATTCCATTTCTAGGTGCATATCCTAGAGAAATTCTTGAACATGTACATATGAACACACATCATTGTTAGTAAGTGTGAAAAAGTCAAACCACCATACAATGAACACCATAGTTTAAATGAATGAGCTTAGGTCTATGTAATAACATAAACACATCATAAAGTTGCATGAAAAAGCAAGTTGCTGAATGACTTATAATCTATGACAATGATCTATTTATTTTATTTTATTTATTTTTTCTTAAATATATTTTTATTGATTTCAGAGAAGGGAGAGGAAGAGATAGAAACATCAATGATGAGAGAATCATTGACCGGCTGCCTCCTGCACACCTCCTACTGGGGATCAAGCCCACAAACCAGGCATGTGCTCTTGACTGGAATTGAACCTGGGACCCTTCAGTCTGTAGGCTGATGCTCTATCCAATTTTAGTATATGTGCTGCCAAAGCGAGCACTGATGCTCTATCCATTGAGCCAAACCAACTAGGGCAACAATGACTTATTTAATTAAGAAAAACATCCACAAAAACATATATTATTCATGGGTAGATATAGATACACATAAAAACTATAAAAGAGATCTTTGGGAAGATGGAAGAGGGGATGGACTGGGAAAGAGAATGAAGAGGACTGTAGCTTGATCTATAACACTTTATTTCCTATTATTAAAAAAAAACCAAAAAACAGCTGAAGCCAGTTTGGCTCAGTGGTAGAGCGTCGGTCTGCAGACTGAAAGGTCTCAGGTTCGATTCCGGTCAGGGGCATATATCAATACATTGGTTGCGGGCACATCCCCGGGGGGGGGAGGGGGGGGGGAGGCGTGCAGGAGGCAGCTGGTCGATGTTTCTCTCTCATCAACGTTTCTAGCTCTCTATCTCTCTCCCTTCCTCTCTGTAAAAAAATCAATAAAATATATTAAAAAAAACCCACAACATTTGAGGTATCTTTTATATTACCATGATGTCAATTCTGGATGTGGGTGTTTGCTAGATTATGTTTTGTGTTTTTCTTCAGTTTTACAATGCATTAAAAAATGGTTTTGGGTGGGTTTTTCCAAATGCAAAATAGAAAGCCATTCTGTTACAGTACCTCTTTTTTGGAAGGAGCATACTCCCAGGCATGAGGGCCTACTCAGCAGAAATTGTTATAAGGAGATTTTTATATGACACATGTTTCTTGGTCAAGAACAAATAAATTTCACTCCATCTTGCTGAATAGGATAAAATAACAAAGGTCTTGAAAATCAGGGGGGAAAGATTTCTGCCAGAGTGGGGAGGGAGGGAAAGAGAGAAATAGTAAGGGTGGGTTTAAATTAAAAAAAAATGAACAGAGCTAGGATAAAATAATACATTGTAGAACATCCCTAGTGCTTTGGCTTTCAAACTTACAATGGAGAGGTGCCTTTCCTGCTCCTCCAGTTTGTCAGAAAATCAAGGCCTTAAATAAGAAGAGTGGGTGTTCAGATGCAGTTATTTAAGGGCTTCTAGGATGGCTCCTTGCTCCCAAGTAAACACTCATTGATAAAAACAAACAAACAAAAACAAAACACATCTCCTTCAATCTATAGGAAAATATTTACTTCATTTTGTTAATGTACTTTATTTTTTATTATTTTTAAAAAAAATATTTTTATTGATTTTTCACAGAGAGGAAGGGAGAGAGATAGAGAGCTAGAAACATCGATGAGAGAGATACATTGACCAGCAGCCTCCTGCACACCCCCCACCGGGGATGTGGCCGCAACCAACGTACATGCCCCTGACCAGAATTGAACCTGGGACCTTTCGGTCCACAGGCCGACACTCTATCCACTGAGCAAAACCGGTTTCGGCTAGTTAATGTACTTTAACTGCACCACTGAAACAATCATATGAATCAACCTTTTAAAGATGCAGGCAACTAAATCTGGCAACCATCAATGTGCCATTTACCTCAGTTTAACTCCCTGCACACTTCCTTTTTTCTTCTGTTTAAATGTTTTTATTTATTTTTGAGAGAGAAGAAGGGAAAGGGAGAGATAGATAGAAACACTGATGAGAGAGACATCAACAGGCTGCCTCCTGCACACACTCTACTGAGGATGGAGCCCACAACGTGGACATGTGCCCTGACCAGGAATCAAACCAGTGACCTTTTGGGCTTGGGACAATGCTCAACCATTGGGCCACACCAGCTGAGCCACACTTCCTTGTTTCTTACTCCTCTCTCCTCTGGTCAGTTCAGTTGGGGGAAGAACCTTAAAAGGGGAAGGGGAGATTGAGGAAATGAAAATGCTTGACTGGAGGAGTGGACCACAGCAAATTGGAACAATCTGAAGATGGAGTTTGAAATGCCAAAGGAAACACCATTCATTCTCATTGCCTCATCCTTATTCCCTATCCCACTTGTCCATTTCCATGACATTAACTAATCCATTACCCATTTATTGAATATCTACAATGTGACAGACACTGTGTTAACACTGAGCAAAGATCACAAGAGAGTTCAACAGTCCTGCTGAAAAAACGACTGATAAAAGTAACAGGAGAGGAAATAAGCTTTTGGTTGACTTGATGAACTAGGAAGAAGAACCCTGTCTTATATCAGATTGCCTTATAGAGTCATGTCTTACTATCAAATACATAAAATGAAAAGAAAAAACCAGCCTGGCCGATGTGGCTCAGTGGTTGAGCATCAACCTATGAACCATGAGGTCATGGTTTGATTCCCAGTTGGACACATGCCCCACTTGCAGGCTCGATCTCTAGTAGGGAGCATACAGGAGGCAGCTGATCCATGATTTTCTCTCATTATTGGTGTTTCTATCTCTCTCTCCCTTCCTCTCTGAAATCAATAAAAACATTTTTAAAATGTCAAAACGAAAGGAAGTCCCTTCTTCTCAAATTTTGTCCATCTGACACAGAGACAATGGCCACTAATTGATTCCCTTTAGAATCACAGAGTCAAGGCAGGCAACCCTAAAAGGCCAATGATGTCATTCTGATCCCCACATCTTAAGATCTTATCTGATTGGTCAGGGTACCAGTGTTCCCCTTTATGCTGTTCTCCTCCCACCACCACACGCACAGTAGTTTTTGCCAATTAGATTGGATAAGCTGGTGAACAGCAGTAGCCCCTTCTTTTCAGCCACACAAATATTACACACACCCTGGATATATGTAGTTAGAACTTCTAACACTTTGACCTAATACAGATTAGTAGCCAAACATAAGCTCATGAAGTTGTTACACAATAAGGAGTTGGTGTCGGTGATGAACAACTTCAGAGCTGTAAGGGACCCAAACCAATGCTTATACAGCTAGGTGAACAGTTGTGGTGTAAAGGACGATGGTGTACTATTTGATGTATTTGAAAGCCATCTTTCCTGTTAGGTTCTATTTATTTATTACAAGTACCAAGCTCCTAATAGATTCTCCTGAATGGACTCTTTTGATCATTAGCCCAAGCAAGTAGACATTTCAGCATCACAATGGTGGGCAAATTCCTGGACTATGGAACCAGAAGACCTGGTTTCAAGCTCCAGCTCTGTCATTAATTGTGTTTGTGGACAAGTTACTTAACCACTCCATTCTCAACATTTGGGATGTTTGTTTTGCTAAAATTCATGATCATAAGCTGTACCATTACCCCCAGCAAACTATTTTGCAAATTCATGGTCAGGAAAGAGTAGATATGAATCAGTATAATGATGGAGAAAAAGTATCCTCTTTATGTAGGAAGGATGGCACCATGATTAACCAACCACTTTACTTTCTACCTATGTCTAGCCATTCACTGAAATAATACCTTCTAGTTTCAAGAAAGAAAATAATATTTTGCTTGTTTCCCTCCATATCCCCCATTGACCTCTCACCAGCCAAGAAAATAATCTTGCAAGAGAAACCAAGATGGCGGCATAAGTAAACACTTGAACTTGCTGCCTCGCACAACCACTTCAAAACTACAACTAAAAGACAAAACGGACATCATCCAAAACCAGAGGAAGGCTGACTGAGTGGAAATTCTACAACTAGAAGGAAAGAGAAAAGCACACTGACACTCAGAGGAGCTGTGGAAGTAAAGTGCAGAGGTACAGAGGCCCGCGTACGAAGAGGGCTGGCAACAGAGTACATGGCTGTCTTTTTCAAGCAGGAGGGAGATACAAGCTCCACAATACGCTGAACTCCAGTTCCGAGTGAGACTCTGGGGACCCAGACTCATACAGGGAGAAACTGGACTGTCTGGCATTGGGCGTAACTCCAGGGTGGCTTTCTCTCAGAGGTGCTTGCAGCGATTACTGAGGGACACTGAGACCCAGGGGCCTCTTAGGGCAGGGC